CATCGCACTATACCACTGTCATCATCGTACTATATCACTGTCATCATCGCACTATACCACTGCCATCATCGCACTATATCACTGTCATAATCGTACTATACCACTGTCATAATCGCCACTATAACACTGTCATCATCGCACTATATCACTTTCATCATCGTACTATCACACTGTCATCATCGTACTATACCACTGTCATCATCGTACTATACCACTGTCATCATCGCACTATACCACTGTCATCATCGCACTATATCACTTTCATCATCGTACTATAACACTGTCATCATCGTACGATACCACTGTCATCATCGCACTATACCACTGTATACCACTGTCAGCATTGCACTATACCACTGTCATCATCGTACTATACCACTGTCATCATCGTACTATACCACTGTCATCATCGTACTATACCACTGTCATCATCGTACTATAGCACTGTCATTATCGAACTTAAGCATTGACATCATCGAACTATAGCACTGCCATCATCGCACTGTATAAATGTCATCATCGCACTGAAAAACTGTCATAATTTTACTATAGCACTGTCATCATCGAACTATAACACTGTCATCCTATTACAATAGCACTGTCATCATATTACTTTACCACTGTCATTATCGTACTGAAGCAATGTCATCCTTGTAATATGGCACTGTTATCATCATACTATTACACTGTCATCTTCGTGCTACAGCACTGTCATCATCGTACTATAGCAATGTCATTATCGTACTAAAGTACTGTCATTTTTGTACCTAAGCACTGTCATCATTGTACTGAAGCACTGTTATAATATTTCTATAGCACTGTCATCGTCGTACTATAGCACGGTCATCATATTACTATAGCATTATCATCATCATACTGCATAACTTGCATCATCGAACTATAGCACTGTCGTTCTCGTACTGAACCACTGTCATCATCGCACTGTCATCAGTGTACAATATCACTGTCATCATCGTACTATAGCACTGTCATCATCGACCTATAGAACTGTCATCATCGCATTAAAGCACTGTCATCATCGGACTATAGCACTGTCATCATCGTACTATAGCACTGTCATCAGTGTACAATATCACTGTCATCATCATACTATAACACTGTCATCATAGTACTATAGCACTGTCATCATCGCATTAAAGCACTGTTATCATCGTACTATAGCACTGTCATTGTTTTATTTAACCAATATTCACATATCAAGCCATTAGAATGGGTCAATTTATATAAAAACATACACGAATATGGGATAATTCGAGCATAACTCGAATGAAAGTCGGCGGGACTCTATGTTAACTCTTTGAAAGTCGAGTAAATCGAGTAAAAGACGTGTTTAATCGTACAAGGCAGTACTAGACCGTACTTGGAACCGTGCAATAATCGTATGTATTCGTATGCAACTCGTATTCAAACCTTGCTTGACCAAGTAAATCCGTCTTTTATTCGTACATGCTCGTGCTAGATTCGGGTCTAACTCGTGCCAACTAATCCCAAGGCACGATTGGAGCTAAATACTCGTACCAGTCAATCCATGTATAACCGAGTATAACGTATGGGAACCCTGTGTCCAACCGTGTTTTGTGTGAGACGGCCTTAAACGTAGAAGACATGAAAGGTTCATTAATCAATTATAAAAGATAATACACAGTAAAGAAATACTGATTGGCTGACTATATGTCACTTACATTATGATGTTATTTAAATACATCAATTAATATTGAATATACATTTGTATACTTAATAATTTGGAAAAATCACAAAAGCTTAAAGTGTACAATCATCAAATCCGCAATAGCACAGTTGGTTCAATGTTTACCTATGATATTAGAGAAGTCTCTGGTATCTGGTTTTTGTGTGTGTGTGTTTTTTTTTTAATTTTTTGCAGTACATTTTAATGGAAATGATCGATTTCTTGCAAACATGTACCCACGGGTGTGGATCAACTCAAAGCATACTTTGTCTCGTTTTGTATGTATTATACGGAATTTAAATGACATTTATTAGTTCTCTACCGGTTTAACCGGCGGAGACTTTAGGTTTCCCTCCGTAGTTGTTACAGCATTGTTACAGATGTTATGAGAGTTGAGAATGAAATTAAAATTTCACACATAATTGTTACAAATGTTACAGGTTGTTACAAATGTTACAGCATAAGCCTTGAAAATGGACAGAAATCGGAATAAATAGGGTTACATAGATGCTATACAAGATTTTTACATAGTTGTTACAGCATTGTTACAAGTGTTACAAGAGTTAAGAATTAAATGAAAATTTCACACATAATTGTTACAAATGTTACAGGTTGGTACAAATGTAACAGCTTACAGCATAAGCCTTTAAAACGTACAGAAATGGGAATAAATACGGTTACATATAGATGTTACAAGGTTGTTACATAGTTGTTACAGCATTGTTACAGATGTTACGAGAGTTAAGAATGAAATGGAAAATGGAAATCGGAATAATTAGGGTTACATAGATGTTACAAGGTTGTTACATAGTTGTTACAGCATTGTTACAAATGTTACGAGAGTTGAGAATGAAATGAAAATAAGACATTAGTGTTACAAATGTTACAGGTTGTTACAAATGTTACAGCACAAGCCTTTAAAATTGTAAGAAATCAGAATTAAGTTGTTGCAAATGTTACTGAATTTACATGCGTTACATATGTGTTACTTAGTGTTACGCTTGTAACAAATGGCAAGTGTTTCGTTAAACTGCGCCCATTTTGTACCCTACGTGTTGATTTTAGTTCGATTACTAGTATATAGAAGCTATAAGCTTATAGACACACTCTCAAAACACCTCCTAGAAACAGCCAGTACTGAGCAATCCGTAAGTTTCTTTTCTTGTTCAGACAAATAATCCTGCACCCTGGCGGGTTTTGACCAATGTGGCTGGAGATCCTATGAGATTACTATGCCGGAGCGTTAACCACCTGACCAGTTGAAGACTTACAGGAGGTCAAATATGACTTGTTATGTTTAATTGCTGAACCTTGTTGACATGTCCCTTATAGCGACTTTTTATTGTGTTTTATTTGTGTCATCGTTTTGAAAATACAAAAAAACCACTTTAATTGTCGAAAAATCAGATTAAGACTCGAGTACAAATAAATAACCAATACCGGCATTTGTTCATCATTATGCTATGGCATATCTTTTTTGTCATTTAAAATAAACCATTACAAACCTGTCCATATACATACAATGTAACTGTTTGAATATCGACATACAGTATGTCAATGAAGCATGAAATAACAAGATTCCTACACGTACAAAATATCACAGCAAAAATTGGAAACCTGATTTGTTAAAAGAATAAATACCTGTAGGATCAATTACATGTCCATTTTTGAAAATGGCAGTAACAAACATTTTAGAAATATTAATTTTAGTTTTAGGTCTTACTCTGATTATTGCAAAGAGTGGATATAACAACACGTGTGAATATGAGTTGATACCAGCAGATCAAAAAAGTTTACCTGATTCATCATATGAAGTTATATTGTCGTATATAATATGGAAAAACCAAAGCGGATGTACTATGCACGTGGATGAGATTTACAAAAATTTAACAAAACACGTAACAGAGAACATAACTAATAGTTTTCTAGGTGTCAATTTAATGTGCATAGATAATGGTGATATTCACTTTACATATTCAGGATCCAATGAGAAAATTCATAGACTTGATATCTTCTTCGATTTATCTATAACAATGTGTTCTGTATATATGAATGAATTGGCGATTTTTCAACAATATGGATACATTTATTCTATGAGTACCGAAAATGTATCGTACATTTATCCAGGTGCATCTTGCTCAATTTTAAAAAACCTTATAGTGCTGTCGTCAAAGCTACTTTGTACAGAAACCTATAAAAACGAAACAAATCTGAGACAATCTTTCTTCTGGGAGGTATGTGACCCATTTAATCACCTAACTAAATTGACTCTACAGGGATGTAGGGAACATATGTATTATATGAATGCCTCCTTCATACAGAGTAAATTTCCAAAAATTCAACGGCTCATTTTGAGATACACGAATTTGACATCAAGTGGGATGACTTTTCCTTGGACAAATGAATATTTCAACATCTCTGACCTTGATAGTATCAAACCCCATACATTCAATACAAAAAGTAACGAAAACGGCAATCATTCTATGAAAAATATTATATCTATATCTGACAGCATTGTGAAATTCAGTAATGATGTTACTTTGGTTGGATATATATCTAAAATAGTCATAAACAAAAACAAAATGCCTAAACTACCAGATACTATATTCCTCAATGTATGCGATTTGAAAGACCTAGATCTATCAAATAATGAAATCAAAGAAGTGAACAAAAATGCCTTTTTAATGCAGACCAAGCTGGAGACACTAATCTTAGCTTATAACATTTTGACTACACTACCAGTAGATGTTTTTGACAATTTGTCTAATTTGTTGACTTTAGACTTATCTTCAAACAAAATAACAAAAGTTGAACAACGATATTTCAAATATTTGACTAAATTAGAGAATCTTTATTTGGAACGCAATACCATTATAACATTACCGCATGACTTTCTTAAGGCGCAGATTAACTCAGTTCAACGCGTTCTTCTTTCAGAAAACCCATTAGAGACTTTTCCTTTGAATGTTTTATATTCTCCAAAGATATTGTTTGTCGATATGCGACATTGTCATATCAATTCTAGTGGATTCCAGTCTCTGCTGAACAATTCAAATTTATACGAATTGGTCTCTCAGTCACGGCCTGTTCCTTCACAAAAACCAATATTTGATTTGTCTCAAAATAATATTACAAAAATCAGTTTTAAGCACGTACTTCCGTCAGTTGTATTAAAATTCTTGGATATTATTAAGAGATTGAAAATAAATCTAGCAGACAATCCAATAGACTGTACATGTGTATCGGACGAACTATATGGAATAAGTGTTTACTGGAAATGTCAAAATCCATCGGAGTTCAGAGGGCGATTAATGGCCATGATAAAACCTCAAGAAATATATTGTCCAATTTACAGCCATTCTTGCCCTGATAAATGTGCTTGTTTCAAACGTAATTATATAAACTCTCTAATAATTGACTGTCGGAATATCAATATAACTTCTTTACCTTCGGTAATGCCCGTTGGAAGATTAGAACTGTGGTTCCGTAATGCAAGCTTACTCGAAATATTACCCATGGACTATATGGAGAATGTAACGTTTTTAGACGTTTCTAATAACAGAATTAACCGGATTACGCCCAGTACTGTAGCTGCTCTGGGCACCGTGTCAACTTTGAAGTTAGATCACAATTACTTGACACATCTTCCTGAACAGTTGGCGAACAAGAACATTTCCTCAATAACCCTTTCAGGTAACCTATTTATATGTGACTGCAAGATGAAATGGATGCAATCATGGCTTCACATACAAAAGAATCCAGTCAAGGATTGGAATAAAATTGAATGTACATATACCCCAAGCATGGCGCCAGCACAACTGATTTCTGTGCCAGAGTCAGTGTTTGTTTGCACAACATCATTTTCCCTCCACAAACATGAAGGTTTCCCGTCAGTTATAACTGCAAGTGCTTTTTTTGTTTTGGTATGCATTTTACTACTTACCGGTATTACATTTCAACGCTTTACAATAAAGGTTCTACTTTTTCTGTTCTGTGGATTTCATCCATTTGATAAACAAAGTCAATATCACTCAAACGTAACATATGATGCTTTTACTTTATACTCGTACATGGACAGGGAATTCGTACAAAACAACTTGGTAGACAAATTGAAGAGCAAAGGCTACAAAGTTGTCGATTTTTATAAAGATATGATAGTTGGTTTTTCGTTTCTTCAAAACATCGAGATTTTCATTGAAAGATCGAAAAGAATAATATTTTGCTGGACAGAGGATATGCTGGGAAATGATTTAATCATATCTGCTTGGAATATAGCATACGAGAAAGCTGTAAAGAATGAGCTTGACCTTTTGATATTGGTAGTTGATAGTGATGTAAATAAACGTTCCTGCACCAATGGCAACTTAAAGAGGTATCTTAAAAGAGGTAGATATATCAAAAAACAATCCAAATATATGTTTGCAAGCGTTGAATATTTAATGCCAATGATTAGTTCAAATACTGTAGACAAAATGTTTAATGATAAAAGAGGAGAAGAAAGCAATATTCCCATGTTAGAAACTCTCTCTAACACAGATTATTATTATGGTAACGGATTGATTTATGTGTCATACCCTGATGATCTAGACTTTGAGATTCGACATGATCTTATCCCGTACTTATCAAGAAAAGAGAGAAATATCAAAGTTCTTGAACACGAATTCACACCTGGAGCAGATATCCGTGAAGAAATTCATAACAAACTTGATTCCTCGCAGCATTTAATTTTCGTCATTTCTCGTTCTACGTTTGATGATGATATTAAAATGTTTATCCTCACAACAGTGATGTCAAATTCAATATTACGTAACAAAAATTATTTGCTGTTATTTACATCCGGCCATTTACATGGTGATGACTTCACAAAGGAGATCAACAATTATTTCAACAATTTTGTTACAGGAAGTTACAGAGAAGAAAATTTTAAAGCACGTTTGCTTCAAGCATTATGTCAAGATTTTAGCTTACCCCATGATGAAAACATAGTTGAAAATCAGTAACTAGATACTTGCATTAAAAGGAAACATTTAAAGTAAATACATCTATAAACAATGAGATTATAAATGTGACATTTAAACTGTTAATAGATTTAGAATTGAATTGTTGATGGGGTAGAGTAGAAAGCTGTATATATTTTCCTATACATATTGAATTCAAATACTAGTAGTATTTACAAGCATTTTATTTTTGTTTTGTACCACTTCAAGACTTTAATATAACTTTAATTTACATTTATCCATCTGTTACGAAGCAAAATCTTAGTATTTCAAATAATTTTTGTAATTGATTGTTTTTTTGTTGTTTTTTTTATATTTATATATCAAGTGTCTTGTCAAGCGTTTGATTAACTTCATTTGCATATGCTAAAAAGAGTTTTTCACACATTTATATTATAATTATATTGTGTTTTGATTGTTGACACTTGCACGGACTTTAATTGTCAATATAATTGGCGTCCGCGCCGAAGCGCGGCGCCTCTTATGGAATGAAATTTGATTTTGTGAAAGGGCGACAGCAACTTCTCGAGCCTTTTAGTCGGACATGATAAAAGCCGATCATTCCGATCGGTATGAGGGTACTTGATTATTAATTAAAAATGAAATGTCGCGATATATACAATGAATAGCGAACTGGAGAATTTCGCAATGCAAACATTTTCAAATGAAATAACCTTTTCCGTCAATAAATCGCGCTCTTCGGGGTATCTTTATTTATCATTTTGTAGTACACAGTGGGTTATTATGGTATGTTATTGTTGCTGAATAGAATGATGAGTTGATGACCTAAATACTCCGAAAATCTATTAATAGAGGGATGTACTCCTATCGGTAATTCCCGGTCTCTCCTGGTCTATTTTGGTGACCGGCGAATAATACCACACGTTTATTGTCCGGTCTCTCCCGGTTTTGGAGTAGATGTTTGATATCGTTACAGAACAGAACAAATATTTTACAGATAAATAAGCTTTTTTCAAAATGAATGTTTGTCACTTAGTTTGGTTACAATAATTAATAAACACAGATCAACTCTCAAATTTATTGATTATTATTATACATAAACATACAATTCGAAAAAAAACCAACAACAACAATAGCATGTTTTATTTTATCTATATGAGATAAAAACAATAAATATGTACAATAATTGAGAAAAAAGGTACATTTTTATGGTATTAATATGACACTATCAACTTTGAAACATTTTATTTAATTTGTTATTCGTGTTTAGTAAAGATGCCGAGGAATTATTCAAAGTTACAAATTAGATTTTATGAATTATTCAATTGATTGGTACTTTACAAAATGATAAAGAAAAATACAAATGTACATGTAGTGCTGCAAATTCATAGGGTAAAATGACACCGAAGTGGTCTATGTCAGCCAACAGCAAGTTTTATATACAAAATTAATCGTCTTGGTCTGTAGTTTCCGGAATGAATATTCATTTGGTTTAAGCCCGATGCGTAGCTTAAAAATCCAAGATGGCGTCAAAGATGGCCGCCAAATCCCTATATATTCTAGAGTATTAATATGTGCTCATATTTGTTTCCGCTTTTGTATTTCAAGTGAAATTTTTGCACGGAAGATATCATTTAAAGTGTTTTATACGAAGAGATTTAATTTTATTGGAGAAAACAGATTGTTTTTTGCTTTTTTATACGTAAATAAGCAAAATAATGCTTAACATATGGGTTTTTGCTATGATACTCTTGTCTTAGCTTAAACTGAGAAATATCTATTACTTATTTTGTTATTCCACTATTGTAATGTATTCATGAGAGTAATGCTTTAATACATTCATATCATATCTTAAGAAATCTTTCTTTGTAATTATGCAGTAAGACATATAAAATGAGAGGCGGTACATTAAAATAGTTGTTCAATGTAAGGTTGTAACTGGTACTTATTTGTTCTATCAATTATTTCCCCAAATTTTGTGTTTCTGTCAAATTATAGCTTCTTTAGTGCAGTCCATGTAACTGATTAACATAAGAAACAAGGAATATGATAATTTGCTTCTGGTTATTTAATGAATTATTGTTCAATCGTACCCCACCCACTATGAATAAAAATCTAGGAAACTCTGACCCCTCGATTATACTGATTATTTGGAATGACAATATTTACGTAAGTTAATAAACATAAGGTGATTTTCAAAGTGTGATACTATTACAGGTATCTTGTCAGATCTAAAAATCTGTTCAAAAATGTGTTACCAATTTAAAAAACATGATTTTGTTGTAAGTTCCCCTAAGGATTTGAAAAGTACAATGTATGCAAAACAACCTCTGCTCATTTATTTATATGTTACACACCTTTTTATGTCAAATGAAATGTAATTTTTTTTTTAAAGTTTCTTAAATTGACAAAGTAGTCATTTAAAAAGTTTGATATTTTATCTACATAGATCATTACTCTGTTGGCCTTCGGTTGCATGAAACATGCATAGTAGTCGGATAAAACATAATGTTTATATGAAAATCGTTCAGCTTGGCATTATAATTGTGTTTGTGTTATTCAAATTCCTTCTATTTGACCTTTTTCGAGTGGTGTGGTTCTAGTATTTCTTTTTAAATAGTGTATAATAACCCTTTGGATAAATTGTGTATAATAACCCATTGGATATGTTACCTGCTTTTAAAGCTTTTGTTCTTTATTTCTTGTGGACAATATGTTGTATGTCGTGAAATTGCACGAACATTTTACATTGAAGATACTATGATCACTTTCGTATGAATATATCTATGGACGTGTCTTCACTTCCTTTAAGTGTACCAGTTTATGTAAAATTGAGAATTCTGCTTAAGCCGGTGCTAGGGGGTGTGGATGGTAACTTACAATTACCACTACCGGTATGTTCCTATATGACGACACAGTGTAAATAAAGTAAATCCTCGCCAAGTAAAATTCTAACAATTGTTATGGTTACATTAGACGAAATAAACAAAACACATACATGATCGTGTAAATATGTACAATTAAGGTACAGCCTAATTAACTCGATGCCTTAAAGGAAGGCAGAGCAACAAGAACATCACTTACCAAGACAGAAGACGAGATTAAAACAATTAAGAACGCACAAAACGTCAAACTGAAAATGTTGCAGGCTGGGTTTGATTGAGCCTGTTCATGAATGGCACTGTCAAGTGCAAACTATAGTACACGCCCCCCCCCCAGCACCAAATTAAGCAGAATTCAAGTTGACTCCCCGTTCGTAATACCCCACCCACTTTGTATATGAATTCAGATCAATAAAACACATTTATGGCATAGTTCGCTTATTCTAACTTATTCTAAATAGTGTAGATATAGTTTTAAAGTTGTTGTAAACGAAATCAAGAATGTTATTCAGTTTAAACAAGAATAAAACTAATAAGTTACAAATATTCAGAAAAGGACACACAGTTTGCAACATATGTTTTCTTCTTTCGTTTAAATTAGGCGATGAAAACTAGAAAAAAAATCAATAAAGTCAAAATTTATAGCATGAATAAATTAAAAATAAGAAATTTTGTGCAAAATTTCAATTGATTTACAAAACTGAAAAAGGAAATAAGCCAACGTAAATATACTAGAATATTTAGGGATTTGGCGGCCATCTTTGACGCCATCTTGGATATCTTAGCTTCGCATCGGGGTTGGGCCAAATGAATATCCATTCCGGAAACTACAGAGCCAGACGAACATTTTGGTATATGAAACTTGCTGTTGGCTGACATAGACCACTTACCCCTCTAATAAGGCTAGTAAAATGGGCTGATTTGCAGCACTAATGTATATGGTTTAAGAATAAATAATACTATATATTGAAAGATTAACCATAATTTACTGACTTTTTCCAGTTAAGTTTTGACTTATAATCGTCGGTCAATATAACAATTGAATTCTAAAAATAGTAGTAAACGTAAAAACTCAGTATTAAAATAGCACATAAAACACAAAAAGAAAAGAAAACAATATTCATAAAATCTGTAATTCTTTTTTATTAAAATAGATATTCTTAGTCTTCGCTAATAGCGATAACATAATAAGTGACAATTACACAAGTGTGGTGTTGATCATGCGTTACACACATGGATTATAAATGATTGCTATTAATAACCACGATCATAAAGAAATAAAAAGTAATATTCTAATCTCTAGCATGCCAATCAAAGTTAATAATGAACAATGTCTTTCGTCCGTTCATCCATAAGTAATATACAATTCTGGCAAAAACCAATTAACCATTGAAAAGTTTATAAGAATATCTTGTCATCATATATCTACTAGTTCATCTTCACCTGCTGCATTTCTTGCTTGGACGCCCTTTGATGCTTTGCATCAATGCTTTTCTTGTTTAATTAATTGTAATATAAATTCGTGACGCTTGTGAATTCACGAGGCGGCTTTCTCTGAAAACACACAAGCACTTGACAGGTAGGAGCACAGTAGAATCTGTCTGTAGTAAAATCCTAAAGGTGGTGCTTAATGAAAAGATTGATATTAATTAGCTGACTAATTAGCGGTCGCCGGTGACGTTAAGCAAAAGTCGCTTAATATAGCTATTCTATGCTCAACTTTGATATCAGAAAATATTAATAATTGCTACACAGTCTCTTTGCAAATATGAAATAAACATGTTTTGACTTCACACAAAGTTAATAAAATATTATGTCATGTTTAACACTCTACACACCTAGGTCGTCACAATATTAATATATAGTGTCGCAGTTTTTTTTAAAAGAAAAGACCAACTTTACTTGTCCCGTATCAGAGAACGTTACTTCGAATAAAGTTTATTGTTCATTTTTCGTTTAAATTTAGTAAGAATTTTATAGGTTTTTATAAATTTCTTCGATTAAAATATTTTACTCAAAGATGAGAATAGTATATCTTTAAAGAGATATAAGGGGGAATTTAAAGTGGTCGAATAAAACAAATGTCGCTTAATACACGTGGTTGCATGGACAAGTTAGACTGTAATACGCATTACAATAAAGGTTGTACTTTTTCTGTATTGTGGTTTCCATCCATTTGATAAACAAAGTCAATATTACTCAAATGCAACATATGATGATTTTATTTTATACTCGTAAATAGAAACAATGCAATGATTAATGTGTATTTTAAAATGTTTATAAATTTATAATAATTGAATTGCTGATTTGGTAGAGTAGCAAGCTGTATATATTTTCCTATACATATTCAACTAAAATATCATTATCCTTTTAATTGTTCCGTTACAAGCATATAGTTGTTTTGTACCATTTCAAAAAAGTAATATAACTTTACATTTATCCATCTGTTACAAAGAATATCTTATCAAACAAATGTTTCTTATTTCAAATAAATGTATGAGTGATTGTTTTGTGTTGTTTTTATATTTATTCATGAAATTCGAAGATCAATGTGCTTATATATAAATTATGCTTGATGGTTGCGTCAGGAGTAAACCTTTTACAG